CTCACTTAAAATGACATAACTTTACATCCTTTAAAATGATACATATTTTTCTCTTAAATTAAATTCATTAATTAAGCCGATTTTAGTGAATGTCAAATTGCGTTTTGAAGGTAAATTGAGCGGAAAAAGAAAAAGAAAATATGGAAGAAACCTGTGGGTTACATTATATGAGATAATTATTTTTTCTTTGACTCCTTGGTTTTTAATGGTCAAATTTAATCCTAGTTGATTGCATCTACTACAAATGACCGTCACTTTGGTTCAACTTACACCTTAGTCATATTCCTACTACCATTATTTTTTTCTACAAAATATCGCAAGTCACATCTTCAAGTTTTCATACTGTAACTTAAAAAAAAATCAAATAACAAATTGCAAACACAGTAGGGTTCATTGTTTCTCCTATTACAAGAAACAAAGTTATTTCTCGCAATTTTAAAATTATGTCATTTTGATGGTTAAGAAAATTAATGAAAGATATTTACACAATATTGCTGCTAGTAAAAAAAACAATAGAGTATATAGTTCACCAAAAAAAAAAAATAGAGTAGATAGATCCCACCGGAATTTAATATGAAAAAAATATCTGTCATTTTAAGTGAGAGACAAATTAAGTATTATGAATGAGAGATAAGCTGAAAATCATCAAAACACAATCATTTTACTTAAAATAATATAAAATTATGTCATTCAAAATGATAAATATTTTTTTCATTTAATATTATAACTATGTATTATCCGTAGTACATAATTATAATTTTTTGACCGCACCAAACCTTAGAATCAGTCATTGTATATCCGCTAAACCCATATATATATATATATATATATATATATATATATATATATATAGGGAAAAATGTTTCTGCAGTTAATGCAGAGAAGTTATCTGCATTTATTCCCAAAACGACGTCGTTTTGGTATTGAAATCTTAAAAAATTATAAATATAAAGACTATTATAACCCTAAAATAAATTAAAATTACAAAAATATCATGATTTCCGTTTCAAAACGACGTCGTATTGGCTTACTGCAGATAACTTATCTGCAGTAACTGCAGAAAAAGCGAACCCATATATATATATATATATATAGACAAATAGTTTCTTATGCGGCTGCACAAGAGGATAGCTTGCAGCAGATAGTTCGAAATTCGTGCCAATTTTTTTTTTTTTTTTCTAAAATGTTGTGGGTCCTAGGATTTTGTTTCTATAGCATAAGAGGAGGAATTTTGCTGCAACAGGAGATCCTTTAAACCCTATATATATATATATATATATATATATATATATATATATGAGAAAAATATGTATCTTTTTAAATGACACAAGTTATGTCATTTCTTTGACACAAAGAGGTGAACTCACATATTTATTTATTTTTGTCTTTATTTTTTTCAGCAAAACTCATATTTTTTGTGTCTATAAAATGATATACATTTGTTTTTATTTATATATGAAAAATATTTTCTTATATTGTAGGAGAATATAATTCTCCTATCAGTAATTTTTTTATTTTTATGCAATATATATTTTTTTTTAATAGATGTAAACCTTACGCGAAATATATTTATAGCGTTGAGAAATTTTTTTCTTATGATTAAAACCCTATGTATATATACTAAAATTGACCGGTAAGGAGACAAGAAAGAAAGAATATAACATCTTATCTCCTACTGAAATTCAGAGTAGAGAATAGGCGGAAATTAAGGCCTGAGTTTCTGACATGAAATAGGGGCAAACTCTTAACGTTAGTTTTTGGTCGTTTGAACCGGAAACAGAAGTTGGATCTCTTCCACTTGCATGCATAAAATCATAACGTTTTTTAGCTTTTTTTTCTTTAAAAAAAAAAAAAACCAAACAAACAAATGGAGCATCTTAACGATGCTTCAGTGTCTGTTTGCACGCGATGTTCGATCATGTGCGTTAATACTAAAAATTAAATAGAAAGAAAATTAGGAGGCCATTATTGACCCAATTTTTAAATGAGTATATTAATATTATAAATAATATCATAATAAGTGGGCGTGGGTGCGCCACTTTCCGCGTCCGTCCAAAAACGACCACCGGAAGTTTAATCACGCGGGCCCAATGTTGAGTCGACTCACTGAATCATTGTAATGAATGACAACTGACATTACTTTTCTTTCTCTTCGCTTGAAGAGAGAAAGCGAATTGAGAGGAACAGTATTATACTTAATTAAAGTTTAATCCATTATACTACCAAAAATTATATTAAAAAAACAACAACTAAATATATGTTACTAAGCCTTATGCAAGTGACATTTGTATAAGTATCATGCATACAAATGTATGCATATATTATTATTTGCAGTTGGTTTTTTTAATAAAATTTTCAACTAAATATTTTGTATTAGTATGTTGGTTTACAATTCGAATAAGTACATAGTATATTTTATATTTTACTTCATAAGAAATTTGTTATAGTTCAAATTCTGGAGAATATTTTTTGCGTTATAGCTATATAATTGCAGGGGTAATTGTGTCTCGTCGCTAGAGAAACAATATAATTGTAACATCTTATGATTCAGGATTAGTCTTGTATTTATGAATTATTTTTCATAACCGGGTAATTAAGGCCATAAAATTCAAAATAGTATGTACACAAAATAGATGTGGTATTGATGTTTCATAAGTCATGATTGGTAAGAACTTCCTTTTGGTAATTATTGATTTAAATGGTAAGAATTTTATTTACCTTAATTAGAAGTTTTGAGTTCAAGATATGGGAATATGAAAAATCAAGCTCAAATCAAATTAATTAAATAATCGATAAAATGGTGAAGAAATTCAAAAAGAATTACTCCTTTAACATATATATTATAAGGGTTTGCTTTTTCTGAAGTTACTGCTGATAAGTTATCTGCAGTAAGCCCAATACGACGTCGTTTTGGGGCAAAAATCATGATTTTTTTGTAATTTTAATTTATTTCAGAGTTATAATAGTCTTTATATTTATAATCTTTTAATATTTCAATACCAAAACGATGTTATTTTGGGAATAAATGCAGATAACTTATCTGCATTAACTGCAGAAACATTTTCCCCATATTATAAAGAAATTAAGTTAATTCAAAAGTTTAAATTGTTAGATAAATTTACTTTAATAATTTTATAAATTTTTCTAAGTGCTAATAAATATTATAATATTTAATTATTTATTAATAAAATGAGGAGCAATGAAAATCAAATTCGTAACCGAGACTTTGATATCATGTAAGATAATAAATTCAACCCAATAACTTAAACTGTTTTGTGAATGATGTATTAATAATTTTATATTATATTTTTCTAACATGTAATTGATAAATATCAAATTCCATATCTATCAAACTAAACGCAGATAATTTATTATGAATTAATTTGTGTCAGATATTACAAGTTTTTGTCTATATAAATTCTTGACATAATTTTTGTTTATAAAATTAGTCCATTATAAATGGTATCAAATTACAATAAATGTTCAGTGCATAATACTTACCATCTACATATCTTATATGGTATTAAAATTATTCCCAAATTTATTTGATATCCACTGTAATAGTATAATATTTGATATTACTTCTTAAAATTCAAAATGATGAATAATTTTCAAAGGCAGTACATATAATTTCATTTTATAATGTTATAAAAATTATTCCTTAAACATAATACAATAATATAGACAAATATTAAATTCCATATCTGTCAACCTTGCTAATGCTTTCCCAAATTAATCGTAGTACATGGCACAATCAAAATTAATTTGATACCAAAATTCAGCAGATTTATACAACATAATAAAAAAAAAAAGTTGTCATACTCCCCGATGTAGAAAACACTTAGCCATTTTTTTTTTATTTTAGGTTTTCAATTATTCTTGTTTAATATAAAAGTAATTTAATTTTAAAATAACATAACCCGCAGGTTTATTTAAAAAAAAACTGATAATATTAAATTAATTAATAACAAGTTTAATTTGTGAGCTATAATGGAGCTAGAGCTAGATCTGTGTCCTTCAAGATGTGCAATATCTAGCTATGTAGGTGCTTAACGAGGTATTTGATAGGAAAATATGCAATGGCACTATGACTAAAAAATTTAAGGGAGTAGCAACTCATAAAAGAAAGTAATGAATAAAAGATGTCTCTTCATGTGGTGAATAGAGATATATAGATGAGAATAATATTTCCTAATAATATAAGAGAGAGATTATCTGATTTGCTATTATCTCAATCTCAAACGATGAATTTTTTGAGTTTGAGATTAATTTGCTTTTATACGAATTTTGAGATTAAGACTTCAAATCATTCTTAAAGACGATATTCAAACATATGTTTTCACTCTCGTTTGTTTAATTTTTTGACGTCAATTAAATTATCATTTGTTAAAAAAATATAGATTGTTGATTACCGGTTCATTGACCCTTTTTTCCCGATGAAATTAAAAATAACAATAAAAAATAGATTGTAGCAAAAAAATACGAAGTGGAAAAAAAAAGTGTGGATAATGAGGACTTTAAATTAACAACCGAAGAGTCAACTGGAAAACTGTTCGTTAAAGCGAAAACATTCTCCACTCGCGCCAGTGGAAATCCAAGTGCGCGTGGCTCAGTTATTTCCGTTGTCATCATGGGACGTTTTCGTTTTTGGTTTAATGGTTTTCCTTCATTGCATTTTGGTTTTTGCCACTCTTTTCATTTTTTTGTTCTGTTCCCTTCCTCCTTATTATTTATTCTCTATCATATTCCTAAATACTTTCTCATTTCATCATCACTACTTTTATAGGTGAGTTTGGTGCGTGTATGTATGTATGTATAATAAGCATTAAGCTCTGCCTCTGATTTATATTCACATAAAGTTGTTGCTTACATGTGGGTTTTCGTCTCTTTATTCTTAATCATTGACCTCTATTACCTTTGTTATTATTCCCTTTCTTCTTATCGCTATATTTATTGGCTCTCTGAAATCACTTTTTTTTTTTACTTGCACTCCTTATATATATATGTCTCTATCCTGAAAGTTCCTTTCGTTACAGGGTGTCCTTAAAAGCTACCCTTAAATCTCAATGCTTTCATGGTGGTAGACGAAGGACAACTCAACAAAGTGAGGTTCTTCCTTCAAATTCAGGTCTTTTCTTCCTTTCCACCAATTTGGTTTTCATAGAATGATTTGATGAATGCTTGAACCCAGCTAGGAATTTTTATTTTTCTTTTCTTAAATTCTGCAGCTTTGTGATTGCTTCTTTTCAAATTTTTCATCCCCCTTTCTCTAAAAGACGAAGAAAATGCAATAAAAAATATATCTTGGTTGTGTGGTTTTAACTTATAACCCAGATTTTTTTTTGGTGACCAGTGCAATGATTCTGGAGGCTAGCAGAAGAAGTATAAAAATTTTCTGAATATTTTATTATTATTTTTGGGTAATGATTTGAATGATCCTTTCCTTTGAGTTGCTTCAAGGAGATGACAATTATTTGGTATGAAAGATGCTAGTGTTGATCTGGGTTTTTGCTGGAAGAAAGAAAAGAAGGTTCTGATATACTAATTAGAGTGAAAAAAGAGAGATTTATTAGGTTGGTGAATCCAATGGACACACCTACTGTGCAGCCACAAGCTGCACCTGCAAGCACCCTTAAGAAAAAAATGACCAAACAGTTGACAGGAAAAAGGGATGATACACCTTTACATTCTGCAGCAAGAACTGGAAATCTTGCTGTCCTTAAGGACACACTTAATGGTACTGAAGAGGGTGAACTGCGTGAGTTATTGGCAAAGCAGAACCAAGCTGGAGAAACAGCACTTTATGTTGCTGCAGAATATGGTTATGTTGATATGGTTAGGGAGATGATTGGATATTATGATCTTGCTAATGCTGGAATCAAAGCAAGAAATGGTTTTGATGCACTCCATATTGCTGCCAAACAAGGGGAGTTAGGTATGTCTTCAGTGTTGTTTCTCTTATTGTTCTTTTTGTGGTGTGTGATTTTCAGTGTGAATCTTAAGTTCTGTTTTCCTTGTTGCAGATGTACTGAAGATCCTAATGGAGGCTCATCCTGAATTGTCAATGACTGTTGATCCATCCAACACCACGGCTTTGCACACAGCTGCAACACAAGGGTATATTGAGATAGTGAAGTTTCTATTACAAGCAGGTAGTAGCTTGGTTACCATTGCTAGAAGTAATGGGAAAACAGCTTTGCATTCTGCTGCGAGAAATGGTCATGTGGAGGTTGTGAAAGCACTTCTGGAGAAGGAGCCTGGGGTTGTAACACGGACTGATAAGAAGGGACAGACAGCACTTCACATGGCAGTGAAGGGACAGAGTCTTGAGGTGGTAGAGGAGTTGATAAAAGCAGATCCCACTTCAGTAAACATGCTTGATAATAAGGGTAACGCGGCATTGCATATAGCAACCAGGAAGGGTAGAGCTCAGGTAAATTAGACTATGCCTGCCATAATTCTGCTAATATTTACGCAAAAGCTTTATATATAAGGTTGTGATGACAAGAAGTGGATTGTGATTTAGATCTATATCCATGTGGATAAATGTGTTCTTTTCCATGGTGTGCCTATCTTGCATTGAAAACAAAAATACCATCAGGTTTGATAATAATCCTTGGAATTGATGATAGCAACTAACTTGAATGATTTCTTCCAGATCATGGCAGTTGTTGTATCCTTGTTTTTGTTAGTCTCAAATATGAATCTGTAATCTTTATTAAAATATAAAAACGAATGAAGTGAAAATCCAAAATATTTATATATTGCCTAATTGGTTCCTTGAACTGTTTATGTGTATTCTTCATAGCACAAACTGAGGAGTCAATTTTGACATGATTTTGAATTTGAGCAAATTATCAGCTCCAAGAGTTATGCACACGTACCAGGTCTCCAATTTCTATAATCAAATCTGTTATTCGCCAGGAAATGTTTTTATCTGTGATATTCATAACATTGTTCACGTACAGATCTTGGTTAGCTGTGGTTTCCTTTAAATCATTTTTTTCAATCTTCATACTTTTGAAGGTTTCTTGTGAGCATATTGTTTATGCACCGTGTAGATTATAGGGACTATCTTTAACTGGTTTGTCTATTGGAAAGAATGAAAAAAAAAATGGAAATTTTTAGTGCCTAGAATTTTAAGAAGAATCAATTACCAGAAATAATGATGAAACATTCAAGGCTAGTAATTAGTCTTGTTCCAGTTTCACATTCGTGACAAATGGTAATTCTTAGGGTAAAAGAACAGGATTGACAATTACCAATAACAAAGAGCATGATAATTATTATGAAGGAAACAGCTGCAACTGTAAGGGGGAGCAGTAGATATTAAAAACCATTCTTTTCTGATTACCTATAGCAAGACCCAATGGTAACTCTATGTGGCTTCTCAATTTATCTATCCAATCCAAATTATATTAAATTTGCTTTAATGCAGACGAACTGCTAGCATAAAGTATAAAGGAACAATCTGGTTGGAAAGTTTAATTTAATATCTGTTTCAAAGTTGTTGGATTAATGGTATAGAGGCTGAACTCTTAAATTTCTGTTTTGTGCAGATTGTTAAGTTGCTTCTTGGACAGAAGGAAACAGATACCAAAGCGGTTAATAGATCTGGTGAAACTGCATTAGACACAGCTGAGAAAACTGGGAACTCTGAAGTTAAAGACATTCTACTGGAATATGGTGTTCAAAGTGCCAAAGCCTTAAAGGCTCAGCCAGCAACAGCTACAGCCCGTGAGTTGAAACAAACAGTAAGTGACATAAAACATGAAGTCCATCACCAGTTGGAACACACACGCCAAACTAGAAAAAGTGTTCAAGGCATTGCCAAACGTCTCAACAAAATGCATGCTGAAGGACTTAACAATGCAATAAACTCCACAAATATTGTTGCAGTCCTTATTGCCACAGTTGCATTTGCTGCTATTTTCACAGTCCCTGGCCAATTTGTTGATGATCCAACAGATATCCCAACAGGGAAGTCCCTTGGTGAAGCAAATATAGGCCCACAAGTTCCATTTCTCATTTTCTTTGTCTTTGATTCCATTGCCCTCTTCATTTCTCTTGCTGTGGTGGTGGTGCAAACCTCGCTTGTTGTTATAGAAAGCAAAGCAAAGAAGCAAATGATGGCCATCATTAACAAGCTAATGTGGTTGGCTTGTGTACTTATTTCGGTGGCTTTCTTGGCTTTGTCATTTGTAGTGGTAGGAAAGGATCAGAGGTGGCTTGCAATTGGTGTAACAATTATAGGTGCAACTATAATGGCTACTACCTTGAGCCTTATGTGTTACTGGGTCATTAGGCATCGCATTGAGGCCTCAAATTTGAGAAGCATTCGGAAATCTTCAATGGGAAGCAGGTCAAGGTCTTTTTCAGTGTCTGCTATGTCAGATTCTGAGATACTAAACAACGAGTATAAGAGAATGTATGCTATTTAGAATTACTAAGCCTTGTTCTCTTTTTCACTTAGTCTTTTTTTTTTCCTTCTTCCACTGCTTGATGGATCTATTTCCAACTAAAGTGAAACTTACCAATGTATATCACAGATTCAAAGATTTGCCTTATGTTAAAAATATGCCTAGTAGTCTCCTTACAGCACCGCCTATCTCGCAACATAAATGTTTTTTTTTTTTTTTTTTTTTTAAATATTCCAATCGATTGCTTACTTCGTAACTAATCAGATGTTTTTTGGAATTGTTTATCTTATTTAACATGAGATAAACTTATTTTTTTACACTCACGTATATAGGAGAGAGGAGAGAGAAAAAGTATAAATGGGTTCCACCACTCAATATGTAAGTGTAGGAAAATGAGTTTATAAATGAGAAAACAATTTTCCATATTTTTTTGCAAACTAAAATTCTCAAGAGATAGAATATTATACTTATATTATTTTTATACCTATTTTATCTTTTTTTTTAATATTATTAGATCACAATCTCATGTGATCTTTATTTTTTTTTCTTTTACGATTATGATGCAACAGTATCAAAGAGGAGGAGTAGATAGACTAGAATAAAAAAAATATAGGCATACATGGCAATCTTTACATTATTTGTATATTGCAAGCTATAATTCAATTTTCGAACAACAAGATATATATATAAAGAAGAGGGATGTTCTAACTACCAAAATTTTTCACTACCAACTTACTACTTATCTAATCACCATTAGATTAACATTTTTTCTTTCTTCAAAAACTTTTTAACATTCTCTCTGTTTGATCCAATGGTAATGTGATAGGTAATAAGTTAGTAGTAAGAGTTTTTGGTAGTTAAAATATCTCACTCGTATATAAATTGATTAACGAATTAGTAGTATATTACCATTTTATCATAATAAAAGATTAGCAGCCTAATAACTAAATTATATACTTCATTAATTAATAATTAAGTTATTATTAATCGGTATAAATTTTTTTGGTTCTCACAAATTTTACAACCCCACAAAAAAAAAACAAGGAAAATTATATTCATTGAACCAAGAGAGACAGTTTTCTAGCATGTCGGGTACAATGAAAGTTGCAACGAAAAATCAAAAAGGAAAAGACAAAATGTAAAGAGCAGCTGTGCCAATTTGTTTCTATTTTTCTGCTAAGCGATAAAATGGACATAGAGATATTCCAAAACATGGCACCGGTCAGAGAAATCAAGTGAAAGCTTCTTGCTATAGATTGCATTTAATGTATGCTTGTCCGGATTGAGAAGTTCAGATTTGCTGGATTGAACAACCTTTACCTTTCCTTCCTTCAGCCCAAACATAAAAAAGGTTTTAATTCTATTTGGGTTACGTTGATCTCGTTTTATATGAGATAAACAATTTTCCTACACACACAAAAAGGTATTGGGTCCCATCACTCTTTTTTTTCTCTCATCTTACCTGTGAATCCCACTTATAATTTTATCTCTACAACATAAAATAACTTTTTACCTACAACGTAAGAAAAATATTTCCTTTCTATTTATACTCAAACCAGGTTATCTTTGCATTTAAAAGTTGCTTTTAGAAGTTAATATTAAGCTGTCAAAACTACAATTTACTGACCAATAAATGTTAGGTTTTTTTTCCTTTCCTTTTTCAGGCAAATAAGCAATAAATGTTCGGCTGCTCCTAGAAATTAAAGGAACAAATAAGAATGCGAATGTCATCCTATTACAATTTTGTGAAAATAATAACTATTTTGTGTGTTGAAAAAAGAACACAAGCAGGTAAAAAAAAACATAGGATATTCGTTTAAACAAAATACTTGTTATTTTCGAATTGGATATAATACAAAGAGGAAAAATGGTAATGACTGATAATAAAAAATGACTCAATGACTAAAAAAAAAAATTTCTCTTGATAAAAAAAAATAGCTTGACTTAAAAATAAATACTCTTCCTCTCTGTCCTCTTGATATATATATATATATTATGAAACTTGTGGGATGCTTATAATCTCAGAATAAAAAAGGCATTCTTTCTCTTCAATAAAAGAAAAAAATAGGACATAACCAAATCGGTTGATTGACATTTATTTTATCTCTTTGATGATGTTTTTAGTACTTTTTTTAAGAATAAAAATCAATTATCAGTCGATTTATATTTTGGTCTGATTCCGCAAAATGTCAAAACTCATTCGAGCGCTCCTTGCATCGGTCTGATAGGCCTTAAAAATTGGGCGAGCTTTAGGCCCAATTTGATCGCAGTTATGATTGTATTCTTGTATTTTTGTTCTTAAAATTATTTTATAAAATACTTAATGAAATAGGTATTTTTTTTGTTTTGAAATTTAAAACACAAAATAAAAATAACTCAAATATATTATTTAAATTTAATTTTAAAAATTAAAAAATAATTATAATTTTTAGAATTACTTTTACAAAAACAAGTCTTATCAAACAATTTTTTTATTTTAAAAATTAAAAAACTATTTTTAAAAACGGAATTCAAACAGGTGCTAATCTTCTGTGTCCAATCAATGCTTTTATAAAAAGAATTATTTCAGTTTGATTGCATTCTAAATTTTCTCAAAATATTAAGTTATTTATTTGAAAAAAGTTATAAGATAAAATAATTCTCATTATTACTTATCAATATTAATATTTTTTTGAATAATTAAATATGATTATATGGATATTTTAATAGATAAAAGAGTTGAAAATTTAATAAAACATACCTGAAGCATTTTTTTTAAAAAAAAATTTTAATTGACAGACACTGTTGTATCTGATAATACAACAGTTTAACTATTTAGAATAATATACTCATTTTATTTGCTTGATAAACAATCAGTTTCACACTTATTTGCTCCATAAAATGTAATAATATAAACTAAATAATCAAAAGATTTCTGGAATGATAACAGTTTCAGCCAGCTAAAAAAGACTTGTAAGAAAGAGAATTCTCTGTACTGAGAATAATTATTCTCATACTAAATAATATGAAGAAACATTGTACCGCAAAATTATATATTGTCATAAATTAAGAATTAAAGATTATTTAAATCTTTAAATGAGCATAACGTATACTTACAAATTTATTTTTTATTTTCATCTTTAATTTTTCTTAAATGAATAATTAATAATATAATTTTTTTTTTTTTTTGATAACTAAACCAAAATTAAAACTCTCTTATTCTAAATATAAATGTAGGGTTCGCAGTTACTCCAAATAAGTTATTTGCAGTAATTCCAGTACGACGTTATTTTGGGTAGAAATCATGGTGCTTTTGTAATTTAAATTTATTTCAAGGTTATTATAGTCTTTATAATTATAATTTTCTAATCTTTCAATACCGAAACGACGTCGTTTTGGAAGTAAATACAGATAACTTATTTGCATTAACTTGCAAAAATATTTTTCTAATGATAAATATAATAACATTAATTAAAACTTGTTGATTATTAGTTCCTTATAAGGCAATAAATAACTTGACTTAAAGCATGTTTATGTTAGATTAGTTTTAGGTAAATATTTTTCTATAGTTTTTTTTTTTTTTCGCAAATTTTTACTTGTAAATAATTTTAAATACATAATTTATAATATTATAATTTTAAATGAAAAACGAATGATAATTAAGAGAAAAAAATAAAATAAAATTCAGCCCAACAATTTATCTCTTAATCCAAAAATTTTCTTCAACAAACAGTTAAGGGTGAAACCCACTCCGATTTCAGTCGTCACAAAAAATCGAAGAACAAAACATTTCAGGGATCAAAACGCTCATTTGGATTTGAAAGTTCGGAAGAGCGAAAACGAAACCATAGCAATTTTCTGTGCGTGAGTGAAGATCGAAGAAACATGGATGACGAATTGCTTGAGCTGCAGAGACAATTCGAGTTCGCGCAGCAAGCCAAGTCCAGCATCCGATTATCGGAACGAAACGTCGTCGAATTGATCCAAAAACTGCAGCAACTCCAAATCATCGATTTCGAGCTTCTCCACACTGTCTCTGGCAAAGAGTACATCACTCTCGTAAGCTCTCTGCTTCGCTTTGCGATTAGGTTTCCCCGTTCGCAATTTTATTTTTCGAGGATTTGATCATTGATTATATTCTCTTAATTTTTTCGCTGTATTATGATTGATCTTACTCAAATGATTATTAATGCGTTCGCACGTACTGTTAGGATCAACTGAGGAATGAGATGGTGAGTGAGGTGAAGAAATTAGGGCGTGTTTCTGTGATTGATCTTGCTGATTCTACTGGAGTTGACTTGTATTATGTTGAGAAGCTGGCTCAGAGCATTGTAACGGATCACGGAGAATTTATGTTGACTCAAGGGGAATTCATGTCGGAATCTTACTGGGACTCAATTGCGGAAGAGATTAATGAGAGGCTTCAAGAATGCAGTCAGATTGCACTGACAGAACTGGCCGCACAATTGAACGTTGGTTTGGACTTTATTGCCTCAATGTTGGAGCCGCGCCTTGGCACTATGGTAAGTTTGTGTGTTGGTTTTGTATATGTTTGTGTTGGCTTTGGGATGATGACATTGAAAAGGTGTTTTGATGAGTGTTGATTTTGAAAATAGGTGAAAGGCAGGCTTGAAGGTGGGCAATTGTATACTCCTGCCTATGTGGCTCGTGTTAGTGCCATGGTTCGAGGCGCTGCACGGGGTATCACGATTCCGACAAATTTGACGGTGTTATGGAGCTCGTTGCAGCAGTTACTGCAAGCAATGGATGGAACCAGCGGTGTGGCTGTTGAAGGAGCTTTCTTTCAGTCTTTGTTTAATGGACTTGTGAAGGAAGGGGAGATTCTTGGGTCACTTCGTGCTGGAGTACATTGGACGCCAGCTGTAAGTGACATGTTTTTACACATTGGACATTGTTAAAGTGATACCTGGATTATGGTTTTCATGTTTGTTTTGGGCCTTTGTAGTGGTTCACCTCTTGATCCACCATGTTTAATTGACGAAAATTGGGTGGTTTTCCAAATTCTTTTGAATTATTCTATTTCCAGTTTATTACTATATTATCCTCTGACTGATAGTGCATATGGGTGGCAGTAGTCAACTGCTATGGCATATGCCTTGGTGAAATTAAGTTGGCTCCTATTTCAATCATTAGAAGATATTTATTATGATTTTCACTTCTTATGTCATGTGACAGGTATTTGCCATTGCTCAAAGGGAATCTGTGGATTCATTCTTTTCACAGGTATGAACTCGCACTTTTCTCATCTTTTACTTTTATTCAAGATACGAAATCTTTCTTCTCTATCTATTTTGGGGGGAAACAAGTCTGAGCCGCTGCATTCATTTTGTGCTGCCTTTCTTTGTATGCTCTAGAATTCTTTTATCGGCTATGAGGTTCTGCACAAACTTGGAATTCCCCAGCCCATTCAATTCTTGCAGGTAACTAAATTGTTCCTATGTTGATTCTAGTTCCAAATAGTAATTATTAGGATCATAAATATATGTGAAATAAATACTTTGTACACTGGTTTCCCTAGCTTAGTTAATGAAGCCTAAGTTTGCGCAATCCAATTTAGTCCAGATATCCTGAAGGCAAACCTCTAGTTACAACATTTGTTCACCCATCTATGATTGAGATGCTAGATGCTGCTACTGAGGATGCTCTGGAGCGTGGTAGCTGGTAAGGGTCTTAACATGTTTTTTTCCCCAATATCCCCTTTCTGTTTTTACTCCTTTCTACTTTACTGCATTGAGAAGGTCAATACCAGCAATTGATTCTCACCTTAAAGTTATATATACTAAAAAAATGTAAATTATTGCTATGTATGTGGTGTTAACTTTCTAATATGTTGGATGACTATTTTTAACTTGTGATCTTTCTCTTCCTCATCTACCCCTCTCATTTAATTTAACATAAGTTATATACTTGTGCATCACCTAGATATTGGCTTAGCAAAAATAGAAATCCAATTAGAGTATGAAACATGTTCTTATATAAGCTCTAATTAGCCAGTTGATAGAACCCAAAATTTATACTGTTTATTGTTGTCAATCAATGGAGGCAGAGCCTCTTACAAAAACCAATGGACACTAAAATAGCAACGTAACACAAGATTTTTCAGACCCATCAATACATGCATACCTCACTCCCCACTTTCTCCCTCCTTTTATCCTATCCTCTAAGAATATTCTAGAACTAACTAACTCTCTTCCTTTTTTCTCTCTATAACAACCCCTATACTGTTATTACATTTATATGCCATACTTCAAACCCATCAATACTCCCTCCAAACCTCACGTTGTCCTCAAGATGAAGAAAGAGGACAGGTAATGTGAGAGAATTTCCAACCGGGTCCCATTGTTTGAAGCACCTAAACCAAGTTATGCTTGAAGCCAAAAATTGGCATTGTTGGATCCCATTGCCCCCTTGCCTCCATTTAGCACCTGCGCTCTCTGTCCCATAACATTCTTGACCAAGAAACAGGTTGTAGCTCCCTTCTCCTCATGCTCTGTTTTCTACCTTGTTTGCTGGCCTTCTGCAAAAAGTTCTTTGGGCCACAAGCACTTCTTCTAGAGCCCAAGAATGCCTAGTCCTGTAGCCCTATGATGAAACCGATTGGGTCTGATGCAAATGACCATCTCTCACCTAGAATCATCACACGCCAATGAAGGAATTGACAAAGATGGCAGGAAAAGAAAAAGCATCGCACCTGAAAGAAAAATTGCGCCTTCCTTGATCATCCACCTCCTCTTGTGTTAGGCAGTGAAATCGAGATCCATAATGTCCTCCTTGCTTGCCATCCTCCGTCGTTGCTCCTCCTAGCGCCCCTCGCCCTCCTCCATTGTTGTTTGGGTTGCGGCCATCCATATTCGTGCTCCTTTCAATAGTTGTTGCGGAAACATTTCGTTAGGTTGCTGAAGACTCAGCTTCGCTGCCTTGAGTGGGTGGATTAGTTGGGCTCGATATTGTTGACCCAGTTCGCGATTCAGTGTTTTTAGAGTTGGGCCTATTTTCCCCTTTTCCCCCAATTGCAACCCTGTTGGGAAGGGCTGGTCTAACATGCTATCCCCCTCCCCTAGCTTGACCATTACCCACCCGCCCACAAGGAAGCCCAAATTGGTTGCGAATGGACTCTTTCTCCTCGTCACGTTGAGCCATCGTCATATCCTTCCCAAATTTTGCAAGTCATGTAACCTAGTCACTGCAAGTATCACTTCGCACTTGCCCCGTGAAGAATGTTGTTGCTTTTTCCTCTTCGTTTCTTTCTTCCACTTCTGCTGCTTCTTTTTTTTCCTTCGCCTTCTTTCTCTGTTTCTTCTTATGCAATTTCTTCTGCATCTTCATTTGTTTTCCTTTCTTCAATGTTATCGTCGTCCGCTTTTCCTGTGTTTCAATCTGCTTCTTCTGTCTCTTCTGTGATCTCTTTTTCTTTTTTTTCGTTCTTTTTTTCTGACTGAATGTTATGTTCAAAATTAATCTTCTTCTTGATTTCGAATCTGTCTCTATCTTCTCCATTGCTTCATCTAAAACCTTCACCATTTTTAACAACATTTCCTTGAGCTCTGAATTGATGATTCCTCCTATGGTTGTCATTTCTTCACAAATCTGGACCAAAAGCACCTCTTGACCGAAGATGCTCTGATAACAAAATGATAGAATAAAAAATTTACACTGTTTATTGCTATCAACAATGGAGGCAGAGCCTCTTACAAACACCAATGGACACTAAAATAACGTGACACAAAGATTAATCAGACGCTGAAAGACCTTTCCCAAACTCTCCCTTAGAACCAATAAACCTAGACTCCCAGAGATTCTCAATTCCTCAAAATTCACTCGATACATGCATACCTTAACCCCCACATTTCCCCTCCTTTTATCCTATCATCTACGAATATTCTATAACTAATTAACTCTCTTCCTTTTCTCTTTCTATAACGACCCCTATACTATTATTACATTTATCCCCCATACTTCAGGCCCATGGGGCCCATCATTGCTCAACTTCAGTTAATGATTAATATGCACGAACTTATTTAGGGGTATAGATGAGTGGGTGGGGAAGGGAGGGGTGGGCTTTCACCGAAAACCATCTTTTCGTCGTCCATGTTATTTTAAAATTAGTTTCTTCATATGGATAATGACTGATCTCATTTTCTCTGCTTTGCTGTGCACTCTCTAGTCTTTGGTAGGACCTCTTTAGATACTTCCATATGTTGTGTCCTTGGGTTTTAAAACTCATACGCATGAAAGTTTTGTAAATTTTGTGAGAGGCCTTATGCTATGTGAGATGTGCAATAGATCTCTCAACTTTGTTTCCAAAAGTTATAGCAAGTTATATGTATTCTTTGGAAGACAATTTTTTCAATGCATTGTATCCTGACATAACAATGTTGCAGGAGTGATTCTCTTTCCTTATTGCCCTCATCTTTTACACCTCAAGATGCATCTAAAATGTTGTCTATCTGTCAATCTGTTCAATTGGCTCTTAAGGTGATATTCAACCATCTTGTAAATTGATGCTAAGTTCTGTTGATTCACATGTTGATAAGCTTCATTTTCTTTGCAGTCTAACAATGCACACATTTTTGGGGATTTTTATGTGTTCAGCAGCAGCTTTATGAAGGTGTGGCATTTGATATATATGAGTTAATTTTACAAACCACATTGCCCATTTTGTGGTGCAAATGCAACTAATAAGATCCAGTTTGAAGATTGGTTTAAACAGAGTAGGTTAAAGGACATGTTTTTTCAGTTAGTATCGTCAATGAGAACCAAAAATAAAAAATAAAAAACAGATGCTAGACATATGTTATGAAGTTTGCTTACAATAGGTTCATCAGTTTGCTGAATGAGCAGTTCAGCAAATAATTGCTCAGGTCACCATCACATAGTTATCAATGGGAAGCTGAAAGAAAAAAGTAGTGATATAAAATGTCTGCAATGTCATGTACTTTACAGAACTGAGTTAGATGTTAGATTAATATGTTTGGCATCCCTTGGGGCATAAGATTTCCTTTCTATCATTCATTTCCTTTACTGTATGCAGCTTTTGGTTTCATTATCTTCTCACTTTCTCGCATAGGAATCAAGAATCAAGGAGACAAATTACTGTTGAATAAAAAATGTCCATCTGCAACTTTTTTTTATTATTGGTTTCCTGATGCCTGTATGTTTCTCTCTCCCTCATCTACCAGGAAATCTGTGATCGTGTGATGAAAGAGTTGGAGACATTAGGTTTTTCAGGGTCATCTGGCACTACGATATCTGGTGATTTACAAGTAGCCGGTGAAGCAAAAGTAGGATATGACTCAAGCAGGTTTAATGAGTCCAATGAAATGGCGAGTGATGGTGGTGCCAGCAGGCATGCTGATAAAGGGTCAAAGAAGAAAAAGGGGAAGGGCACTGGAAATGCAGTAGCAAATCTATCAGAAAGTGGTCCAGATAACCAGGAACAAACTTCCACAAAATCTAAGAAAAGCCAGAAAAGGGGTAAGGATACATCTTCGCAAACGGCAGATTCAAAGTCAGGCTGTAGGAAAGAATCACTTAAAATGAAAGAAGATAATCTCAGTACTCCCTCAGAAGAATGGATCATGCAGAAGATTTCAACCTTGATTCCTGATTTTGAAGAACAAGGTCTGTGATTATGACTTTGGATCTGTTCTTTCTTCCTATACATGTTACCCAATGTTCTCAAATGCAGTGCTATAAATTGATAGGTATTGATGATCCTGAAACGATTCTTAGGCCTTTGGCTAACCAATTAAGGCCTACAATAATCAGTTCTTGGATGGAGAAAAAGAAGGCATTACTTACAGATAATGCAGAAAGAATGAGACGTTTGCTTGATAATTTGCAGAAGAAACTTGATGAGGTTTGCCTACTGAAGCTGCATTTTACATCCACTATTTTTCTGTCTTTATTCAACTTTTTTTTTCCCCTTTTCATAAAGGATACTTATCCAGACATGTAAAATTTGTGGCCTTTTATATGTGCAGTTTCCTATGTTGATTATTTGTTTTCTTGCAGTCTTTCTTAAACATGCAGCTGTATGAAAAAGCCTTAGAATTGTTCGAAGATGATCAATCAACCTCAGTAAGTTTGGTTAAGTTTTTAAATTTAAAGATACTATTTTCACTGATGAAACATTAGTTAATTTTATACAATGCCCAGGTTGTTTTGCATAGGCATTTACTAAGGACAGTAGCAGCTCCTATGGTGGATATGCTTCTTCATAACCTGGTATTATATACAGCGAGTTATTTGTTAATGTTTCATGAGGTTTAATAAGGTCTAAGTCTAACACTGGGTTTATCATCTGCAGGATGAGCACAACAAATTAAACAGTGGACTTGACGTGCAGGAAGCTCCAAATTCTGAATCTGTTTCACTTAGTCCTGGAGACAGAGCTGCAATTGTAAGAATAAGACATTATATATTGGGCATAATTATATGCATCATTTTTTCTGTTTTTTATTGTATCAAATTCTTATTTGTCTTGTATGCTTGCTGAAGATCATCATTTGGCAGGAGCACATAAAATGACTTCAAATCTCTCACTTATTCTTATCTTTTGCAGTCTAAGAGTTTTCCAGGAGCTCTTGCAAAGAAGGCTCTTGCCGTTGTAGAAGCATTGGAAGGAAAGGTTAGCATTTTTAATTCTGAAACAAATCTCATTATTGTTAAGGGTTGCTCATGTTAACGTTATGGTTCATTGTATAAGTTTACTCAATGAATTTCCAATTCAGAATTGCAGCTGGCTGGCTGGAAATATCTTTTTATAGCTTCAAACTTATTATTCTGTCTGATTTCTTAGTAGTATAACTAATGTTTGAATATTAATACAACAGAGGGTGGAAATATTCATGGCTGCATTTAGAATGGTAACAGAAGAGAGGTAATGTATCTAATTTTGTTTGTTGAACTTTAGCATTGATTTGACCTCCAGATCTTCTGCCCTGATGTGATCCCTGATACATGTTTTGATCATTAATTTCTGCAGTGGGTTGCCTCTGAAAAAGCTTGACAAGAAACTAGAAAGAACACTTTTACATTCATATCGGAAGGTATTTATGCTTACATTTATGTAAAAAATTAGCGGAATAGGCTAAAATCACGCACAAATATTGTTGATGATGCTGGTTGTGGCATTGAAACTATCAGATTGGTAAAACTTCTGAATAACGAGAAATATTACTGAATAAGTTCTTTTCAACAATGTAAGGGAGAATTCTAATTTAAGAAGTTTTGGTGAACAAATTTTCAATTAAGGAAAATAAGAAATCTAAGAACTATCCAATTAGGGATAAATTGTGTGTCTTGCAAAGTTATCAAATGCGGATTGCGGCATGTCGCGGCCAACCCCGAAAAATGCTATAGTGTTATAGCGGGTTGCGGTTGCGGAAATAGCGGAATAGATATATGACAGAAATAATGACAAAAATAAATATTTTTTAAAGGCAGAGATAGCAGAAGTCACAGAGAGAGAGACGCAGATAAACTAAAAAATCCTTAAAAATTTTCTATTACACATTTAAATTTAGGACAACATTGACATTTTGTCTTATGACAGCAATATGGCCGCAAATGTGATCGCAATGGCCGCTATTACGTTCAGGTGCGGTGCAACGCGGTTTCTTGCGGCGAGGCACCGCAACGCCCATACGGCGCGGCTCGCGGTGCTATTGCGGCACTATTAATTACTATGGTGTCTTGACAGTCCACACAAGGTCTCTCTATATATATGAGTGTTATTATTAATTACAATGATTCATTCCTATTTATACAGATATGTCATCCTAAATTAGTTCCTAAGATTTTTCCTAATTGATTCAACCATATATACATAATATGCCATCATAAATATCAAAGACATTCTAACAAGGGAAAATATTAACTAAATTGGGTTTTATGGTTAATTAATCTCGTTAGTGTTTAGTTTACCATTAACCATTATTTGAACATTGATTTGCTATTCTTTCCAGCTTCAGTTAATTCTTCTTATATTGGATATGTTAGTCAAGATTTCTTAAATTGTAATTCTCCCTAATATTAGTTAGTGACACAACTCCACATAGAACTTTCAGTGAGTTTTGGAATGATACCCTGCTATGCTGATATTTTTGAACTCTCTTCCATCATTGTTATTATCAGGAATTGACATCTCAAGTTTCTGCTGAGACTGACCCTGTATCACTTCTCCCAAAAGTTGTGTCTTTACTTTATATTCAGGTAACTTAAGTACTTCTTTTTGTATATTTTGCCCCCTTTTCCCGTTATGAACATGGATACTTGTATGAATAGGTTCACCACAAAGCTCTTCAAGCCCCTGGAAGGGCCATTTCAGTTGCTATTTCCCTACTGAAGGTATGTACTTTCTGTCAGCTGGTTTAGTTATCCATCAACACAACTAAGAGAAAAAAATTAGTAATATAAATGTCAAATGTAAGTTAATTGGTTTGTATAATGCAAACTAGGGATAAGAAACAATGGCATGGTGCCCAACCTAGGGAATTCATTATTTATTATTTTTATTTATTTAAAGTAAGTAGTAATTTAAGTTGAGTTGAAAGCCTAAAATAGACAGTAATGCCAAATCTGTTTTTGGTGTTATTGGAATGAGACCTGCGGATGATTTTTAACTAAGATATGATATGTAGTTGGAGTATTCCCTCCAAGACTTCTTACAATGGTTGAAATATCTCAGAGCCTAGATCTGAGTAGTCTTTCCTAGTTACAATAGAATGGTTGTATAATGCAAAGCTATTATTCATGACTCTTATGTGTTGGATTTAACCATCTAGGATTTTTACAATTTAAACCTTTATACTATTGTTTGTTCAGTGCTTTTTTTTATTTATTTTTTAAGAGGGGGGATCTCATCTGCTTCAGATATTATTTTATGGTTTCCTATGCTTAGCACTGTTAATGGTTTTCTATGCTCTCTACCGTAATTTTACCAATTAAACATGAAATTTTGAATGTTATTTTGGATTAGTTTGTTTCATAAATTTAACCTAGCATACAACCCAACAAAGTTCTGAGACTTGAATTATTTTGGACCACCAGCTGCCGTGGTGTGACATCCCTTAGTTTATCTTTTTTGATGCACTTGGTTCTTGCTTCTGGGACCACTCAAGCAATTAGAATAGAGTTCAAATTTGATACACTATTAGTATATAGTAGCAAACACTATCATCTTTTTTACTCATGTATTTTGTTGAAAAGGAAAATTGCAACAAATATACTGCTTACATCACATGGGTTATGAATATATTGGGCTCATGTATGCTGTAACTTAGGCAATAATGAATACATAGGATTGAAAAACTCACAATAATCTTATTTAATTTAATCAAATATCAAAAGCTGAATAACATAGGCTACCTAAAGGGCTAAAGGGGTGTTTATAAGTTATAACCCAAAGTAGTCAAAATCCTAGTCAAATCTATTCTGCATGCCGTTTATAATATATTTTACAATGACATTTTTCAGAACGTCTCCCTGATTTTTTTTGCGTGTTTTAATTGTCAGGATAAGCTAGACGAGTCAGCATACAAGGTTTTAACTGATTATCAAACTGCTACAGTGACTGTTTTGGCACTATTATCAGCTGCACCTGGTGATGTGAGTAATTACTGATTATGCATTCTTCCTGCGTACGTGTCATATTAAGTTTGATCTCATAAAACCTGGTTACTGTTTTACATTTTGTACATCAATGGGCAAGTGCTTTGAAATTAAATATTATTGTGCATTTTTTTCCAATGAGAGGGTGAACTTGGAACAGTGGTAAAATTATTCCTTTTTTGTGACCTTAAGTTCGAATTTGGAAAACAGTTTCTTTGCAAATATGTAAGGGTAAGGTTGTATGCAAGAATTGTCATTACCTCTACCCTCGCTAATCGGATTTAATGGAGAGTGGTTTTGTGCAAAAAAAATTTCAATGACTCTTAAATAGATAGGTAAGATTTTTTTTCCAGCTTTTGCATGATCTCTTTTACCGTAAGCTTTTTTAAGATTAAAAGAAGTGCCACCTTATCCAATCAGCAAACAATCAATATGCAATATTTCAAGAGCTACTTTCTCTCAATATTTCGTTGAGGGGGGTGTCATGTTTGTGAATGTTTTGATCATTCAATTCAATATGTAGATTAGTTTGAATAATTGGAACTATGTATAGATTGTAAACTGCCATTTTTACATTTTGTATAGGAAGACGATTGTGCATCTGATAGAATTTTGAGTAAAAGGGAGCTTCTGGATAGCAAAATGGGGGACCTCAAAAGCTTGGTTTTGAGCACGTCTCAATCTTCATAAATACTTTGTAAGCAAATTGACAACCTGTATCGAGCCTCATTGTACGGATGGGCTGATTTCGTAGTTTTTTTATTAGTTGCAAAAGCCTGCGACACATTACACTTTGTTACAGAGTAGATAATTCTGGGGTATTAGATTAGATTTTATTGCAACAATTCATTTTATTCTAATTCACACTGCAAATGTTCGCTAGTTAGTCTTTTCTCAGGAGAACCTAATGCCCTACTTGCCTTCTCTACGTGGTATTACTTCATAATCAGTCTGAGAAATTCTTGAATAGTTGACCTTGTTTATACAAATTTTGTAGAGTAAATCAACAAATATCTTGTACTAAAAAGTAAAATAAAAAATCAACAAATTGATTTGACTACTTAATATTGAATAATTACATAAACTTTTGTCCTACAGAATTATTTTATATTTAAAGTGATACATTAATTAATTTAGTCCACACAACTGTGAAAATAAGGTTTACACCAAGTCTTCTGTAATCAACACAAACAGTATCATGAAAATCTTTCAACATGAGTGCTGTACTTTTAAATGATGAATCAAACACGCTTTTGAAAGTGTTAAATATTACATTTTATAGTATTTAATTTCATTTTTAAGTGTCAAATTAGTGACAAAAATGCCAATTAGCTTGTGACAGCTGACGATTGGCATTTTTGTGATATTTTGAAAAGTTTAATTTGCATGCCAATTAGGTATTCTGTTTTGCTGCGGAGACAACTGTAAGAGTTTTGAAGTCAACCACCTGAGATTATCAAATATTTCTCTTCGGCAATAGCATAATGACGTTATAACCCTGAACGTAGTGATATTTTAGGTCATAAGGCTGTATCTCGCTCGACTGTGAATGACCTCTCACCAGTAATTTGCATGTAGGAATTATCAACGACCATTGGTCGTTGAGCATTCTGTTTCTGACGATTAAATGTTTGGGTCCAATCCTCAAAGACATGGAACGGCCAGGAGTGCATTAGGAAACGGAAAGTTGCAATTACCAATCCTTGGAATCCATTATTCAGAAGGAACGTAAGTAGTTTACCGAATAATCAGTCCAGAACCACGAAAATACTTACTGGATCATTCGTTATTGCATGGCCCACCTCTCGCTGCTTAATTCTTGTCGCAACAAGCCCTACTGTTAGCTAAAAGGAACCGGTTTCAAACTTACCAGCTCCCCTGACTTGGGACAGTTAACCCAGATGGAGAACCTTCAAATGTCAATGGAAGGGCTCGACATGGCAGTGAACATATCAAGCAATTTAAATGTAACATCACCACCCCCGTACTCCATACAACATAGACTTTACAACATTCAACTGCTAGACTTCTGATGGGTCTGGAATCAATATTTGAAGCTACCATACTAGCATGTAATAAATAATACACAAGCTTTCATATATAATCATAATCAGGCTTAACGATACAACGTGACGGGCGGGCCTCACCTACGGCAAAGATAATCATACTTACTCTCGCTTAAAAACGAACTACAATGTGTGTGTTTGAAGTTGTTTATGAGGGGGAAGGTGGCATAAACCTTATTTTTCTTTTTCCAGGCCACAGTCAATCTAGCAGTCCTAACAGATTGAGATAAAGTAATTCAGTACGAGGACAATAACTACAGACACTACATCCAATTTTCATTCAGGTTAATTTATGTGCTCATTTGATCAAGTGGGCTGCAAACCATGAGTGTCAAACAGCTAGGTTATCCTAACACCTATGTATCTCAATTGTTCGTATTAGGGAAGGAAAAAAAATGATACTAGCTTGGGTCACTTAAGCAACAAGATTTTAAGAAACGAGAATCAAGAATTGAAGGAACACTAATGCTGCAAAATGACTTTCTGAGGAATTAAATCCATAATTGAAACTTTACAATAAAGGTTTTGTTTCCTCCTCAATGTTGAGGCAGTAGTGGTCTCTTTTCCAACATTTCATAATGAAGAACAAAATTATCCTGCAAGGAGGTTGTACATTAGAGGCCAAAAATGGAAAAATATATATATCCGGGAAAAGAGCAATACAACTTTGGAAGAAGAGTTTAAGAACACCATTGATATACTATATTTACAAAAACTAACCTTACGGACCGTTTCGAATGTGCTTGGATCAAAACAGTGATAGGATCCTCTCTCGTATGTGTTTGTTTTAACCAGCGGCTCCATGTTGGGAACTCTTGTAAACCAAAAATGATGCTCTTTGTGATAAAACCAACCTCTGTTGTGACTGAGAGCAATAAACCTTACTCGTTAGAAATTATTGACAATGGAAAAAATAATTCAGAGAATTACAATTTAGGAATTCCAATCAAATATTTTTTTAATTTAGGAATACCCTAACTGGACAAGTGGTTAATGCAAATACCATTATTGACTAATCTAACCACTCATCGAGTTAGTTGTTCCCAAATTGTAATAATCCCAAAACAATTTGGAAATAAGCCCAAATAATTTTGGTTTTTTTTTGTTTGTTTTTTTTTGGGAGGGGGGGACCAACTACAAAAAAGGATGGATTTGAGGAAATGTCCATACAGCTCGTTTGCGGCATATAATTGTGCTTCATCTTTGGGCATGCTGCATAAAAGATAAAATTTGATATTTAATTATAATATGAAGCAAGTCAACGTGAAAGCAAGAATCTGATTTTAAAAGCACCTGTAAAATATGTAAAACAACGTATCCACCGAAAACTTTGAAAAATAACCTTGCTGCATCATGCAATAAACAATTAGACAAAGAAAAGGTTTGAAAATAGAGAAATGAAATTATAAAACAATAAAAAATCTCACATGTAGAGGAGATTGCTGTTTAGCGTAATAACATTGTGGCACATTAAACTCTGGATCACCCTTAGCCGGTTCATCAGACCATGGAGACCCAAAAGTCTTGTGAAGATTTTCTGATGAATTCAAATTTAACCCAAGTGTAGTAAGATCAATTCCAAGAGCAAGAGATGTCAGGTCAGGATCACTCATCCTGATCACACTTAACAAGCCAAGCAAACCAAATTGATCTGGTGTAGATTGTGCAGTTTGCATAGACTTCATGCTCTGATCCCTAAAAGACTGATTTACAGCTGACATTTGAAGACGGAACTGGGACTGGTTCTGGTGCTGTTGATATTGCTGGATGAGCTGGTCGTATGAACCCATACCAGAAACTGTATTTGGAGAGTTTAGAGGCCTTAATCCAATGCCAGGAGGTCCACTTGTCTAAACAAGAATCCAGAAGTGATTAGAATGTCAGGAATACTTGCTTCATGGGAAATACATAATTTCAGTATAGGGGGGCACCTCATATTGAAAGACAAGATAAGATAGTTTTTTTATTTATTTCTTTGGTGGAAAAAGATAGAAGTTTATTCATTACAAAAACATGTTCCCCCATTCATGCATACAAAACATGCAGACCTGTGAATGATAGGATGAATGTGAAGATGGAAAAATATCTGATCCATGAAGATGGAGAAGATCCTGGTTGTTTACAGATGAAAAGGAGACACTGCTGTTAGTGACTGAAGGAGCATGCTGTTGTTGCTGTTGTGCACGATGTGATGAATATGTCCCCCCCAAGCCGAAACCAGCAGACCTCCCCATCTGTGCATATTGAAAGCATGGAAAGTTAGAAATGACAACAGTTTTTTATCCATCAAGATTATAGACATGGATCTGAATATAGATAAGATTTCTTAATCTTATATAACATGACTCACAGAGAAATGCGGAGATTGCATCATTGGCATAGCATTCTCATGAAGTTGTTCTTTCTGGTGCATATACATAGCATCATCTGCATTTCCACCTGCACAAATAATAATATGGTCAAAAACAAATACTGAAGTAAATTGAACAACTTTTACTCAAGTAGAGTTCTACAAATGAACACAGGTGACCAAAAATAATAGTCACTAGGTTGCCATTTCCAACAAAGCAATCAAAGATTCATAAGAGAAAACCTAAGAAACAATTGCATCTTCTGCAACGTGTAGAGACATTAAAGCATCCTCACTAGATTTTTAACAGAGAAAACATATGCTTAACTTGACACTGAAACCAGGAGCACATACACCAATCAAAAGAGTAATATGGGAATAAAATAGTAACAAAGCCAAACAACAAATGTAAATGTGCATGAAGATCCAGAAGACCTTCCTAAAGAAAAAGCATAAATTTTATTCTACAACTCATCTCCTAAGAAGACACTATTTAAACTCCAAAACAGAAAACGATTATACAATATAATTATATAATAGAGCAGCCAAAATTCCTAACAAGAAATGCATAGTAATCAATTAGGTCAAATATCTTATACAAACAACAAACTACACCTTTGAATCCTGGTAAAGCTGGGAAATCTTCATTTTGAATGCTAAACTCTTGGTTTTGTTGAACAATGGGACTAACACCAAGACCCTGTTTTCGTAAAGAACCTGAAATATTTTGTTTATATCATTCTTTATTGTATAAGATGAACAATATATCAAGTGAAAGTATAAAACAACATTTTCCTTCACATACCCAACTGTCCTTGAGGCCCTCCTGCAGAACTAGGACGACTTGTTAGTTGAGGGAAGTCATTGATGTCAAAAGGTGAATTGTCATTCGAATTCACATCATTCAACATCCCCATAGAGTTCAAGTTACTTACTGCTTGAACATGGCTTTGGGAAAGCGGACCTCCAGAGTTAGGATAAGAATTTCCTAGCATTGAAATCACCTGTGGAGATCCTGAATCAAGAAGATGATGTCACCACAGAGTAGCACATTATATTACCATAAAATGAACTCAATAATAAAGGAGGGGAAATTTGCATATTCAACACACATCAAACATATAAATGTTTTGATCATCTATATAAATCTCAAACAAGCAGCAGTTCTTTAAAATTTTCAATCACATTTTGCTGCCATATTAGCATATAACATTCACACATCAAATCAACAAACCTTTCCATATTAGTTGACAAAACAATCTGTGTAGCGACAGTGTGACACCCAAGAAACCAAATTTGAAGCAGGTGGACAGGCAGTAGTAAATGCAATCAGAAAGGTTACTCACAATCTAAACCCACATTATCAAGCTTTAAGAAGTGAAAACAAGTACAGACTTCCCACTATTGTTGAAAACAACAGTCAAACAGTCCAACAGTCTTGTCTATGGTGACATGGCTGCACCTAGGCACTCATCATATGCAAAGCACGTGAAAATAGTGACCAAAATAAAGATGGCTTACA